TGTCTGATGTTTGTGTGTCTGATGTTTGTGTGTCTGATGTTTGTTTGTCTGATGTGTTGCAGGTCTGTGGGTCTCTGTCTCGCTCGCGCGCCGCGGTCAGGTGCTTGTGTTCGCGCGCCGCAGCAGAAGCTCATCATGACGTAATCAGACCTGCGTTTCCGCCGCTGCAGAGTTTCTCAGAGGAGGAGAGCATGATGAGAGACACAGGTGAGACGCTGTTCACGAGACACACATGAGTCCAGAAACAGTCAGACCACAGTAACGCTCTTCTTCTCTTCACCAGTCAAGAAGTTCGCCCAGGAGCGCATCGGCCCGTTTGTCTCCAAGATGGACGAGGATTCGGTGATGGATGCAGACGTGATCAGCGCTCTGTTCGAGCAGGGCGTGAGTATCTCGGCACAACACTGATCACAGACACACCTGCTTCTTCTATTGGTTTCCTGTAATCGTTTCTGTGTGTGTGTGTGTGTCAGCTGATGGGGATCGAGATCGGAGCGGAGTATGGAGGCACAGGCTCCTCCTTCTTCTCCTCCATCCTGGTGATCGAGGAGCTGGCGAAGGTGGACCCGTCGGTGTCGGTGCTGTGCGACATTCAGAACACGCTCATAAACACGCTGCTGATGAACCTGGGGACGGAGGAGCAGAAGCAGCTCTATCTGCCGCGGCTGGCCAGCGATACGGTGAGACGCTCGCTCTGATGATCCACTGATGCTCTGAAGTGTTTCTGTGACTGACAACGCTCGTTCTGTTCTTCAGGTCGGCAGCTTCTGTCTGTCGGAGTCAGAGTCGGGCAGCGACGCGTTCTCGCTCAAGACTAAAGCAGAGAAACACAAGGATTATTACATCATCAACGGCTCTAAGATGTGGATCAGTAATGCAGAACATGCCGGAGTGTTTCTGGTGATGGCAAACGCAGAGCCGGCCGCGGTTAGTATGTGTGGAGTCATTTCTGACACTAAAATTAGGGTTCGTTCACACTATGAATGATAACTATACCGATAACTGTAATGGTAACTATATTGGCGTCTCTATCAACGCACAGTAATGTTCTGCTCATTATAAGTGTGCCGCAGTTTTGTCGCCTGTCACTTTAAAAGCTGGAGCTCTTTAAAGCAGAATGGATTCTGATTGGCTGTCAGTGTTTTTTT